GCAGTAAAGTGTTGAGCAGGCAGTATTTTAACAGGATGGTGTGTTTCAGAAAGGGATGGTGAAGAAGAGCTGAGTGCGGCGCAGAGCGGCCATTTCCTGCTGAGGATCAGTTGTGGGATCGTCTGTGAACTCCAGCGTCCTGGTGAGCTGAAATATTGCTGTTGAATTAAAACTTTGATGAAATAATTCATTGAGTTCCTCCACACGCTTTAAATAACTGCTTTTGTCTAAATCAGCTCTTTGGATGTTGCTTGTACAGGTCAGAGGCCACTGCTATGTTTCTGTTATTTTATGACATTTATTTAGTGCTTTTTCAGTTTTAATTATTAGTTTTTCTTATTCTGTAAGCTTTCAACATTTTGTCTCTGGTTACCAAACTTTAGCCGATGTCTCTATTCTGTTTGTTGAACAAAAGTAGAAAGTACAATACTGCACAGTAAGAAGCCCAGCTATTGTCCTGTGAGGATATCTGGGACCAACTAAAGATCCTAATAGATGAGTTATAGAATCACATTGTATTTTACAATGATTTGTAGCTTTTTAACTTTGTTCATTTTGTGGTTCCTGTCTCTCAGCTGGATCTACAAGTTGACCTCACCAGTTCACCCATCTCTCTGGTTGTGAAGAGGAGCGGTCTCCATTAGAAGAAATGGAGCATCGAGGCAAAACGCTGGAGGCTTATTTCAACCCCAAAGTCCTGCTGCATAGATTAGGTCTGTATGTTTTCTTATCAGTAATGGTTTAGGAGCAGCTTTATGAGGTTTATCTTCTTAAAAGAAGGTTGAGAAACGGTTTGTCTCTGTGTTAGCAGATTCGCTTTCTATCTGATGGAAGAGTGACTGAATCCCAACGCAAATAAACGTATCAAACCTGATTCATCATTGAAATATTCAACTTTTCTGCTGGTCTTGGTTCAATGGAGCTCTGATTCCTAAAGCTATTGAAGATTATGTTCAGGTTTTTGGCTTTCTTTTTCTACATAGCTCTCATCATAGGGTTAAGTCGGTTATCTTTCTGATCTTCACCCAGTTTGAACAAACTGATCAAAGGATGGTTATAGTGAGACTCTCTTCCTGATCAGCTCTGAAACTTGTCTTCTTATTGCACAGTGTAGTGCAATGTGTGTGGAGGGGAGGGGATACTGTCAATGTCTTATTTATATGTTTATAAGTTTAGTTCAACTGCACATTGGAGACTGGTGAAACGAAATTTCAAACTTCTGTGTTAACCCTGTTACATAGATCTTTGACAATAAAGTACACTTGACTTGAAACTGGGTATAGAGGCACTTTGGTCTGGGAAGTCTGCATTCAATCACAACAACTTCATGAACTTAAACAGCGCTGCTCTTA